GAGCTAGGCACGCCTAAGTCACACGCAGGCAAACACAGACACGCAACCTAAATGAATTCATACTACAACATGAACCAACAAGTCAAACATAAAGAATTGAATACTAAAAAAAAATATTCACCCTGTAAAAATGTACACAGATACACGTTAAAAATCCTTTCTGGTTCCAACAATTCACATACACTACAAACAAATCCATAGAAATACACATATACACACACCCTGATATGTGCACAATATATGTAAAGAAAGTTCTACCCCTAACATAAAGCCATCATCACCCCGACCAGCGTTTCCTGTGTCGTCTCCTCCATTTAACTGGTCCTGAATGAAAACCCAAGTGTTGCATGACTGACTCCCATTCCTCCCACCCTTCCCTTACTGGGGGTGGGGAGGTGGGTATAAAAAACTAAAAGGAAAGAGAAAGACAGAAAAAAATGCTGAAACAGTGAGACAAAAAAAATTTGAGAAAAAAATACTGAGTGAATAAAAGGAGAAAAATAAAAAAAAAAGAGATAAATGAATTGATAGATGAGAAGATGAGACAGAAAGAGAAATTAAGTTTAGACATGGATGTAAAAGAAAGTGATGTCGTTAGAAAGAGAAAAAGAAAGAAAAAAAGAAAGAGTAAAAAGAAAGAAAGAAAAAAGAAAGAGTAAAAAGAAAGAAAGAAAAAAAGAAAGAGTAAAAAGAAAGAAAGAAAAAAGAAAGAAAGAAAAAAAGAAAGAGTAAAAAGAAAAGTGTAGAAAAGAAAGAGTAAAAAGGAAAGAGTAGAAAGGAGAAGTAAAAGCAAAAAGGAGAGGTACTGAGAACATGAGGAAGACATAATGAAGAGAAGAATGTAGAGATAGAAAAAAGAAAAGGAAAATGACAGACACACACACACACACACAGAAGAACATGATTCGTAGCGGAGGCTCCGGCGCATTTCTATTTACCAACCCCTTTTACTATATCTTCCCAACCCCAACCATACATCATACAGCCACTGCCACAGGGGCTGTGATGATGAAGAAAGCCGGGTGGGGGCGAAAACCGCAGTAGTAATAATAAAGTGAGGTGGGGTAGGAACGAAAGGAAACAGAGTTGAGAGAGAATGAATGGAACAAGGGGGGTTGGTTGGAGAGACAGGGTAGAAGGAGGAAGTCAGAGAGGGTTCTTGGAGCCACTCAGATCAATATTCAGTCTACAAAGAACCTGATATATTTTGGCGTAAATTTTTCTGCAACAGAAGAGAGGTCTTGGTTGCGTGGAAACCATTCTTTCGATGTGGCCAGCTTAAATAGCCGGTGCCATTCACCCGGTCATACCATTGCTGCCTTAGGCAACAATGGAATGGACAAAGAATTTTTTTTTTTTTAATGCTTTTTTTGTGTTTGTCATTTTAAGAAATGCCACTGTTGTCATATCACATGTAGGTGCACATGCAAATGCATACTGATATGCAAATGCAATTCTCTCTCTCTCATTATAATATATATGGAATGAGAGAGAGAGAGAGAGAAAGGAAAACTTTTTTACTTTCATCCCTTGAGGAACTTAAGGTAAAAATTTCTCAAGGGTCAGAACACGGTAAAGAAAAGTTTTCTTTTTGTCTTTTATTTTATTTACATTGTCTTTACAGATACATTCTATTTATATTAGAATTTTCACACAAACACACACACATATATATATATATATATATATATATATATATATACACGATTGTCCTCAGAGTGCCTCTCTCTCCAATCATTTTTGTCATCTACCATTCTGATTCTTGTGTTACATATGATAAAATATTGTTTTAAGGTATGGTATATTTATGAATTAAAGTGCTCAATATTAGACATAGAGAGTACACACACACATATATATATATATATATATATATATATATATATATATATATATATATATATATATTATTATTTCAAACTTATTTTTATTTGATATTTGTATTTGAGTAGACGCTCTATTTTGTTTTTTTTTAAAGTGTTTATTTCTTTCCATCTATTTATTTCATCTGTATACTTGAGAAAATATAAAAAAAAATAGTGCCCTACAACAGGATTCAAACCTGTGTCCCACTTTGCAGAAGAAACCACCATCTGATCACGCATGCTTTGACCATTCAGTTACAGAGAGTTTCACAATCAAGCAAGGGTCTATTTGTCTTAATGCACATTCACTCATTCTGATATTCTTGAAAGACATATCTGCACAGTTGGGTATCCAAAATGCAAACAAAGCAATTTCTAAAGAATTGATGGATTTTATTTTTTTAAATCCAACCTATTTTCATTACTTCAATCCCTCAATTATACAAGTTTCATTAAAAATGAATGTCAAGTTACTGCAGTTAAGTTTTTTTTTATTTTTCTTGTGTTCTTATATTTTTCTTTTTTTCTCGACAGAAATTATGAAAAAATTGTGTTTGTGTGTGTATGCTTACGCACACACAGTTCACTTATCTGTGGCAACTTTACTTCCCTAGCCTATGGATAATCAAACTCTCTGTCCAAGAACAGAGAAGGAATTTAAATGTGGCTTTTAAGGGCTGGTATAATCACCTATATTCTGAAGAGAAATGGCACTTATAGAGGAGAAAAGATGGCTTGTCCCCACAGAAGACATGCAATATTTCATGACTTGCTTGAAACTTGTAGATTTGTAAGTTTGTATTCAAATTGATTGAATATCAAATGAAATAACTATTAGATGGGCATCTTGTTGTGTTGTAATGGTTAACAACCTCATTACAAATGAGCAACGAGTTCAGTCTTCAATGTAAACACCATACTTATGGTCTTGTGCCATGACTATTCTAGCCTTAGATATTTACAATCTTTTAGAAGATGGGCTAATATTGAAATGTTACTATTCAAGATTAATATGCATGCATGGTTATCATCTAAGCTTGAGTAAAAGCCAGGATTTTCAATGCTGATTTTTTGGGCAGGTAGGCTCTTTCCACCAGAAAGAGTTGTAGAGTATAATATTCCTTTCTCTGTGGGGCTAAGGATCAAACTTAAGTAGGCTGAGTAAATATTAGTACATTAAGTATACATTGTGTGTGTGTGTGTGTGTGTGTGTGTGTGTGTGTGTGTGTGTGTGTGTGTATATTTTTAATCAATTCACCCCCAAGCAAGACAATAATGTCATTAGGATGCAAAGGGCTCCTGAGAGTGAAAGAGAATGAGAAAACTCTAGAAGGAACCGGAAACCCAATCCTAAACAAGAAACATGGGATGAACTTCTACTCATGTTCGAAAAACTGGGAAGAAATGCAAACCAGACAAGGTTGAAACCTTTGGAAGTAAAGTCTGATGATCCGCAGTCCTTTAAAAGGGCTGTGGTGAAATAATTTATTACATGGAACCTTAAAGTGGTCTGTTTTTATTTTAATTATTTGCTCTGGATTTACATTGAGCTCTCTGGATTTTATCCTCCTTGGGTCTACCCATATGGATTACCTAGTTTTTCATAAACTATATATATATATATATATATATATATATATATATATATATATATATATATATATATATATATTAGTCTCACTCACCCGTCGAATTCGACACATGAGGGTCAAGCAGATCAGTTTCCAGGAAACTGACAGCCCATTTCTTGACACATGAGATTTGATTATAGTGGTGAAGGTTTAGCAAGACCATCCACACTTTTTGAAGGGGACGAATACAGAGACCTGGTGCACTACGTGCCACAAGGTTCCCAAACGACCCTCCTCAGGTTTTGAATTCAGAGTTGTCCTTCTCCTAGACCAGTTGCCATCCAAGGCTATAGAACCCAGTCTGTCCTGCTATTTTACCCATAGCTGGAGGGAGAAGAAGAGGATTCATACCTTTCCCAAGGGTATTAGCATGTGGTGTAATGTAATGGATTCGACTGGAATTCAAACTCGGCTCTGCGATTCCTCAATCCAAGCCGCTATCCATTACTCCACCGTGCCTCCATATATATATATATATATATATATATATATTATATGAGTAAGAAAATTACCTAAGAGGTGAAGCAAAAGTACTTAAAACAAAGCCTACCAATATAAAGCCTGCAACAAAAATAACAGTAACCTACCTTAAAGAAAATCAGTATTACTCAATGCATAGTGAATAAAGAAAACTGAAATGGGAAACTAAATCAGAGTTGTCATAAATGTTATTTTAAAATTTTTTTGTTTTATTACTAGTGTTTTTATTGATGATTCAAGATTATAAATGTATCTGCCAATATTTCTCCAATTACTCTCAGCCACTTTTGACCATCTTCAGGGTGTAAAATTAAGGTCAGTATTTACATTAATGCTTGTCTTATTTTGATTACAATGGTACATTTTGAATTTACTTTTTTTTAAACAAGTCATAAGTTGTGAGATGATTTTATTTGGAATGTTTATCATAAGATGTCCAAACACATTCTTATATATGCATGTGTTTATGTGTGTGTAAAAATTCAGATATAAATAAAATATATCTATGAAAAGACAATGTGAATAAAGACTAAAGGAAAACTTTTCTTAACCAATGTGTTTTGTCCTTTGATGGACTTTATCAAGGTATATGTAAGGATTTTATTTTGCAACATATATTTACCATAAGAATTAAAATATTGTTAGGTTTTAAATTTTTTTTAATTTAAGAACACTCAAATATGAAAGTCAAGGTAAACTATGGAGGATTCTAAGTGATGTAACTTAATGCATATTTTCAGAGTTATCCTTGAGTACATCTTTGAGAATTCTTAAATTTAAAAGTTTTGAAAACATAATTTTTATTTTTATTTATAAATACATGTTGCAAAATAAAATCCTTTTATTTAACTTAAAGTATATCAAAGGACAAAATGTTTTGGAAAAGAAAAGTTTTCCTTTGTCTATATATATATATATATATATATATATATATATATATATATATATATATAAGCAATTTACTATTAAGTCACCTGAACAGTAGATGTAATTTCTTCAAAACTCAAAATTTGATTGATTGATTGATTGATTCAGTTTTTTTACAGCTTATCAACCCTTTCCAGGTTATTTAAAGCCAGAAAATATTTCTAGATTGTAAGAATTTTCTTTGAGATAATAATGGTTTAGTGATACAAGTTTTACTCATTAATTCCTAGCAGAGAGAAAAAGAGGTGGAATTATACCTTTCTCAAGGGTATTTGCACATAAATGAACATAACGAATACAAAAGGCTTTGGAATTTGGCTCTCTGATTAACAATTCCAAGCTATTATCCATTACACCACCTGCACAGCCAAGATTAAAGCACTTGGTATTCCCAAATGGTCACCTATCTAAGTACTGACCAAGCTAGACATTGCTTAACTTTGATGATTGTATGGGATGTGGCCATAAGACTCAAAACTCAAGAGTAAACACATTCAAGATAAGTGAATAAATTTATTGATTATAGAAGTATGTATGCAGATCTATATATATATATATATATATATATATATATATATAGGTGTGCATGTGTAATATATATGTGTGTGTGTGTGTGTGTGTGTGCATATACATACTATGTATTATACTTTGGCAAAAAACACATTTGTCTTCATTTTGCAAAGTGACATGAACAGCACAGGCTGAAAGAATATATAACAATAAAGGGAGAAGAGGTGACAAGCAGAAAATACAGTTGATAGATTGGCTCCAGGAAGTGTGCAGCTGGGAAAGAGAGAGAGAGAGAAAGAGAGAGAGAGAGAAAGAGAGAGAGAGAGAGAGAAAGAAAAGTGAGAAGGATGGTGTAAAAGAAGTGAATTGACAGAACAATGTAGAGATGGACAGAAGAAGAAGTGTAGAACAAAATGAACATTGAAAAGTAGCAGATGGAGAAGTGTACAGAAGGATTTAGAGCAATGAACAGAGACATCTTGAACACAAGATTATATATGAAGTCAAAAAATGACAAAAAAGTCAGTGCTTTCAGATTATATGCTTAAAGGCATTAACTATTACACAGACACAGATGGCTCTCTCTATCACACACACAGACACACATGTGTGTGTGTGCGTGTGTGCATTGCTATCCAAGATTTGGTGATTTGAACAGTATATAAGAATAGAATCTAATACAGACTTGCTGGTACCTTTTGTGAAGCTATATCAATGCCAACTATTTGTAAGGAAATAGTGAGAAATATAAGTTTTTTTTTTCCATGGTCAAATTCATTAAATTTTGGGTTACCAACATACAGGGAACCTTCTGACCCCTCTATCGCCCTATTAATCTTCTACCACTTTTCAACAAAGTATTTGAGGCTTTAAACAATGCTGAAGTGGTTAAGCATCTTACCACTCACAAACTACTCTCTAATGAACAATATGGCTTCCGTTTTGCCAGGTCTAAATAATGTCTAACGGCCATCACTAAATATGTATATCAAGCTCTTGATAATAACAGCAAAGGTCAAGCTGTGGCTCTACTTGCTTCCCTGAAAACTATAATCTTCAAAAATTTAAATGCAATGTCAATTGCTATCTTCTTGAATCCCATTCATCATTTATCCTTTCCTCAAATCAACTCCCTATATCCAGTCTTTTTTCTCACCTTCACTCTCTTAAACCCCCCCTTGCATACTAGTGGCATTCCCATCTTGCTTGGGTTGAAATGATATGTGTGTGTGGACACTGTGGTCAATACTGTTTCATGTTTAAATGCAATCTTCAGGCCATGAAGTTTGTGTTTAAGCATGAAACACTATCACCACTGGATGTTGACCTGTGTCCACTTTTATATTTATATATGCTCTATCCCCGATATTGAGCACTTTAATGCATAAATATAGATAGCAACATATATAATATATATATATATATATATATATATATATATATATATATATATATATATATATATATATATATAAAACAAATGTTTGGAGGTACAAAATTTATAAATAGTTTTAAAAACTAGGAAACCATTGATTTTAATATTAAAAGTCTCTAGAGCCCTTATATATATATATATAAGTGGACATTGAAGACAAAACCCAGAAGGAAGGGTAAGTAGGAAGTATTCCCAAATGAATTGTAATGCTTATTTTTTTGTCAGATTTTGGGAAGTAGGTCAAGCCAAGAACTTTTCAGCACCTGTGTGTGTGTATGTGTGTGTGAAATTCTGGTTCTTAGCATAAAAGTCTCTTGTACCTCTCAATCTTTCCTTGCCTTTAGTGTGTAGATGTAATACATTTATACATGTCTGTAATTATGTCAATGAGTACAGCTCTTTCTTCTTTGAATAATTCATATCAATTATAACTAATGTGAGTATAAATGTAGCTATATTTACACAGCTATTCATTCATATTGACATATATAAATGGCGGGTTTTGATGAACATGGGCCTGGGAACAACTCTGACAGTGTATTGCTATACTTATGAAGGATAGATAGATAGATAGATAGATAGATAGATAGATAGATAGATAGATAGATAGATAGATAGATAGAGAGAGAGAGAGAGATGTTCTTAACTGCATATCTTACTAGATAAATCTATCAATACTAAACATAAATGACAAGACAGAATCCATGGTTGTTAGCAAAAGGGTGAGCCCAAAATGCAAATTACAAATGAGAGATACCAAAAATCAAAGTAGTACCAAAATTTAAATATCTGGGATGTGTTCTAACAGAGGATGGAATGTCTGACACTGAAATATGAAGACGTATTGGGATGGGCAAAGATGCTAAGCAGTGTATTAAGAGATAGAAAAATCTTGGAAGTTAGAAACAAAGAAAAGAGTACTGAACTGTTGCATAATATCAATCTTCCTATATGGCAGTGAATGCAGAACAATCTCCTTATATATATATATATATATATATATATATATAAGGTGGATCTTGGCAGCAAGAATTCTGTTAAACAATACCAACTAGGTCTGTCTGTCCTATTGTTTTAATAAGTTTTTTTTCAACTTCTGTCGTTTCATATCAGAATTAAAATTGGTAAACTTCCTAATATTTTTTTTTTTAACTAGAGTACTTTTAATTGTCAGTACAAAAATGTGTTTGGCTAATTCTGACGCTTCCTAGTGGAAGCAACTTTAAAGGTGGTGTCATTTACAATATATATAAGTAATAAAATAGTTAAAAAAATAATATTTAAGTAATAAATATAAATCAATCACTTCTTTGGAGCCTTAAAGTGGTCTGTTTTTATTCAAATATATATATATATATATATATATATATATATATATATATATATATATATATATGTGTGTGTGTGTGTGTGTGTGTATATATATATATATGTGTGTGTGTGTATATATATATATATATACACCTGAGTTAATATGTAAAATATATTCTGTGGTTGAATATAGAATAGAAGCATTTGGTATGAATGTCTGAACATAAATATGTGCATGTATACATGCATGCACACACAATATATATTTAAAGAAGTGATGGATCTTTATGGATATTTATTTATTAATCCAACAAATTTTATGACTTAAACATTACTTAAAATCTGTAAGATAGATAAATAAAAATCCATCCCTTTCTTTAGAAATTTCTTTGTTTACTTTAGGATACAAAACTGAGCAGACATGTATATTTTGTGAGTCTGGAAAAGACTTGCATTTATAAGACACTATTCAACTTGATCATCAATGTACTTTGTGACTGAAAGTTTTAAAGCCTGTCAGATCTGATGATGTTTCACCTACCGATGGGAACACAGTTTTAAGTTCTGCCACAGAGTACATATTTTCCTTTAATAAGATTTCTTGAATATTCAGGCCAGGAGAAATAAATAAATAAATATAATGTTTAATAAATAAATGGAGTATCTACTCAAATATGGATATCAACTAAAAATAAGATACAAGAAATTATATATATATTCCGAACATGGTCGGCACATACATAAAAACAACACATATTTAGTTAAAAAAAATAAATAAATAAAAATAATGGCTAAAAGAATAGACAAAAGTGCTTGGATTTGCAGAATTTTTGACAGTTTTTATACACTTTGCATCCAGAAAAGAAAACACTTGTATGAACACAAGAAAAATTAAATAAAAAGCTGAATCCCAGTACCTTGTCTGCCATCTTTAACAAAACTTGCATAAAAGAGGGATTGCTACCTAAATACATAATATATATATATATATATATGTGCGTGGTGTCTTTACTGAAGGAATGTATGAAAGCAAAGTACTTTATGCAGCTCTACAGAAGAGTGCATATTTACTTCTGTGTGTAAATATGTGTCTATATATAAACACATACACAGATATAATCTTCTATATACATTTTGCATGTGTATCTAAACACGCCCACATACATACATATATATATATTCACATGTCACAGAAAGGGACATTTTAGACATGCATATATGTGTACTGTGCCAATTGCTGCAATTTATATGCCTAGGATAGAAACTTTGCCTACCAATCAAAGGCTGTCCATATTCCTTCTGTATCTTCCTTCCCCACCTCTGAATTCACCAATTCCATCCAAGTCCATCATCCCTTTTTCCTAGCTTCTGCCAAAGTTCCCAAAGATTATTTTCAAAGACTTTTTTTTTCTTTCCTCTCTTCTCTACTTCATATATTGATTCTCTTTCTTCTTTTTCTCATTTTTCTTTAGATATTTTCCTTTACCATTTTCATAGCAGCAAATTTAGCCTGGAAGCAACTGCCATGCAACTCTATCTTTACTCCACCTTCTTGGAATCATCTTCAATCCTTGCTTTAGAATTGCCTGCCGATAAAATCTTTGGACCCATTAAAAAATGATTAACTTACTTTTAGTGTCCACCAAAGGCAGTGACAAGACAATGGGTACATTAATAATACATATGCACATTTTCACAATATACACAGAAATATCACACGCACACACTGATGTAAAACCATATTGGAGTCTATATACTCTTACATTGATATATAATATAAAGTTACTTGAATATATATATATATATATATATATATATATATATACACACACATACATACATATATATAAAAAAATCTCTCACAATATATATATATATATATATATATATATATATATAAAAAACATCTCTCTAATATATATATGAAAAACATCTCTCACAATATATATATATATATATATATATATATACACACACATATATGAAAATATCTCTTACAATATATATATATATATATATACACACATATATATGAAAAATATCTCTTACAATATATATATATATATATATATACACACATATATATATGAAAATATCTCTTACAATATATATATATACACACATATATATGAAAAACATCTCTCACAATATATATATATATATATACACACATACATATATATGAAAAACATCTCTCACAATATATATATATATATATATATATATATATATAAATATAAATGTATGTATATTATATAATAAATCTTTCATTTTCTTTAATATAATAATAACTTAATAAATTGTGGCTAGATATATATGTGTGTGTGTGTGTGTGTGTGTGTGGAAGTGGACACTGAGGTTAACACCAAACGAGTCTGTTTCACGCTTGGATGCAACCTTCAGGCCATGAAGATTATGTTCAAGCTTGAAATAGACTGTCGTTGCTTGGTGTTGACGTCAGTGTCCATTTTTATATTTACACATATTCTATCTCTGATATTGAGCACTTTCACCCATAAATATAGCATAGAGAAAAACAACTTATCAACTCTTTATGGGTTTATTTAAAGCTGAAACCTGTAGGATTCATGATGGGTTATAGTATGTTGCCTATAGTACCTGGCATCCCCAAAGTATCCCTCATCTAAGTACTGATTGCGTTTTGTACTGCTTAAAATTGATGATTGAATTAGAACAGGTATCTTCAGCATGAGCACAGACAATGAGTAATGCATATTAGCAGTGCTGACAATAATGAATGTAGCAAGTCCTATTTTGCATGGTTCTGCACAGCTGTTAACCCACAAAAATGGAGAGTGCTTCAATTGGCTCATATGCAGATTACAACAAAGGAACTGAATACAGAGTTGAATGTTGGGATATTCTAAAGTTTGTGATTGGTGGTGGGTCATATGGATGCTAACTCAAGAACAAAAAGACTGTTAAATACAGATATTTCAGGCATCATTGAAACATAATGAGGCTGAAGAGGATAGTTTCCAGGAACCCATCATCACTGGCCCTGAGCCTTGCTGTCATCATCACAAAATGGAATCAAAATGTTAGTCCATAGAAGTGGTGGCATTCAAATTCTCCATCAAAGAAAAAGTCCCAATGCAGTCATTAGTGGGTAAAAGTGGGTGCTTTGTCTTTTAGGATAGAAAAGGTGCCATCTTTCTGGATTTGCTGGAAACCAGACAAACTATAAACTATGTATACTCAGCTTGGATTTCCATATTCAAACATGAGAAGAAGACAATTTTTTACTTACATCACAAAGTTATCTCCCTTGTTGCAAATTTTGGCTACATGATCTTACTATAATCCCTATACAATCCAGATTTGGAGCCTTCCAAATTCAATTTGTTCTGGCCAATGAAAAATGGAACATCTTCCAGATAACAATGCTATCATCACTGCGTAATGGCCTCATCCACATATAAAAAATGGCTAATAAATAATGGAAGCATTAATAATAAAAAAAGAAAAAGCCAACACTTAACAATATTAACTATGAACATGGACATTATGTGCTGACCATGTTTAGAAAATAAGAAAACATTCCCATCATTATAGGTACACATATATAAAAATCTACATATTCAGTTAAAAAAAAAAAAAAAAAAAAAATCATCCTGATATCTAAAAGAATAACTGAAAATGCTTGAATATATAAAATATCATTTTTACATACTTTATGTCCAGAAAAGAAAACATTTACATGAACACAAAAAATTGAATAAAAAGCTTAATTGCAGTATCTTGTCAGTTATTTTTAATAAAACCTGTATAAAAGTGGGTCTGCTGCCCAAATACACAATTGTGTGTGTGTGTATGTGTGTGTGGTGTCTTTTTTTTTATTCTATATTCCATCCAAGTGTTGTAACATAATAAAAATGTATTTATAGTAAATCAAGGTGGAGAATCAACAAAGCAGTCAGTGGATAGGTGCCACCCACACATGCACATGCGCAGGGTTAAAAATGCAGGTACCTCAAAATCAGCATATTGTACACTGCAACATAGTATGGTATCAGATGCAGGTTATTATATGCATCACAGCAAATATGTTTTTATTTTTTTTTCTTATGAGCTGTAGTTATATCAATTGTTGGAGATTTAATAGCCAATGTATTTGGTTAGAAATAAAATTACTTTTATTTTATGTAATTAGAAAAAAATATCGGCTTTTAAGTGATTCTAGCTATGGAATCAATGATCAAGCATTCAAACCTTTGTTCAGCAAAGAATGCCAAATTTCATGACAGTAATGCTATTCCTATCTGCCCTACAAGTTGTGTCAAGGGAAAAATTGAACATCCACTTCAAATAGCTTCTGTT